TTGCCAAAAGTTCAATTGGTAATTGGATGGGTTGTTTTAGTGAAGAAAGGGAGATGGTTAAAAATGATATTTGTTCTGGTGCCCAGCGAAAGTAAGTTGGAAAGAGATGTATCCTTCGTTGAGCAATTTTTAATGAAAGATCGACAGGTCACAATTAGAAATGTAGTTAATTATCTGAACAATAAAGTAATTCTTAATACCCTAAAATTTCATTTACTTTAGACTGTTAACAGATCAGATATACTTGACCCATCGTGTATACACGACACACAAGACAGAGGAGTCAGGTTGCGATGGATAAGATGCTCGTACTGGGAAAAGATATCCTAATCCAACCATTCTATTAGAAATCGTTACAAAGATACAAAGCGGGTTCCAGTAAATGTACGTTCTACCAATCCTTTTTGTTTACTCCTCGCTAAAATATCTGCAGCAGTGAAGGAGAAACTTCAGGAGTACTGTAGAACAGCGAGTATATTCGGGAAGTGATGTAAGTCAGATGTGGATTCATAAAAACTCTAAGGAACTTTTAGAAAATTTGAAATCACAAACAAAATCAATAACACCAAAACGTACGACTTTTCAACACTTTATACAATCATTCCTCCCGATAAATGAAAGTCAAGGATTTTTGACATCATACACAGCTGTTGTTGTTTTTTTTTTTAAATACAAATGGAACTCGCAAATATATACTTACCTTGCCACTAGTCATTTGCAAAATGATTTTGTTTAAAAAAAAAACACGACACACAAGACAGTGCACATAAGTACTCTGAATTTGATATTAAAAAGATGCTTGAGTTTCTGATTGATAATATCTATTTTGTTTTTCCAACAATCCGTTGGAATTCCCTTGGGTACCAATTAGTACCCTTTATTAGCAGATCTATTTTTGTATTCATATGAAGCAGAATTTATTCAAAAGCCTCTACATGAGAAGAAGAAAACACTTGCTGTGGCCATTTAGATATATCGACGACGTATTATCAATTAACAATAGTTACTTCCATTCATATGTCAACTCGATATATCCAGGTGAACTTGAAATAAAAGAAACCAGACACAACTGTTCATATTCGGATATTTTACTAGAAAAAGACTTTAACCCAACAACATAGCTTTATGATAAACGTGATGACTTCAATTTTTCAATCGTCAACTTCCCTTTCTTATGTAGAAATACACCCTTATCACCTGCCTATGGGCTTTTGTCTTCCAGTTGATTCGATACGCAAGAGCATGCTCTACTCATGAACAATTTCTAAAACGAGGCAATTTTTTGACAAACAAGTTCATGAAACAAGAATATCAACAGTTTCGTTTGAAGTCATCATTTCGCAAGTTTTCTTGTCGATACAATGACCTTGTTAGCAAATACAACCTATCATTAAGTCAAATGCTGACTGACATTTTTCATACTAATTGTTAGGCCATTATTTACACACTAAATTGTCTACGGATTTTTCCGCTTTCCCCGGTCATGACAAGGAACACAAGCGGTTGTGATAGGTCGGCAGGGGATGCTCACTCCTCCTTGGCACCGGAACCCACCTCTGATGTTTTTGGAGGTCCGTGTTTGCTCTGCTCCCGATTTATATTGTTTGAATGAACTTGGAACTTGAATACTGCTCGTTCAGTTTTCATTAGGCAATTTGTGATAAAAGGACTATTCTTGTAAAAAAAATAAAATAAAATTTATAAGACCCGGGGAATTCTTTGGGCTGCTGTGAACAGTACGCTACGAGCATGTCACGTGACCGCCTGGACAACGTGTATTGACAGAAAGACAGCATATGTGCATTAAAATCGAAGGGGACTAATTCAAGAAATAATAAAACCCAATTTGATTTCTTTTATTGAAAAAAGAAGTCTGTGAGCCAATGCTCACTAATAATACCCCCGCTCTGATGTGAATACACAAGTTCAGTTATGGACAAACATAGTGATAATCAGGAAATTGACATCGGGTTTGTAAAAAACGAATCCCAACATATGGCATCCCTAAACAAACACTGTGTTAAAATTTCAAGCACCTGCAATGAGTAGTTGCTGAGAAAACTATGTATGCTACGGACAGACGCATGGATAAACAGGAAGTTGACATCGTATTTGTACTAAAATGAATCCCATTATATGGCATGCCTAAACAATGATTGTGCTAAAATTTCAAGCACCTGCGATGAGTAGTTGCTGAGAAAACTGCGACCAAAGTTTGTTATGTATGGACGGACAGACGCACGGATAAACAGGAAGTTGACATCGGATAAGTACAAAAATGAATCCCATTATATGGCATGCCTAAACAATGATTGTGCTAAAATTTCAAGCATCTGCGATGAGTAGTTGCTGAGAAAAATAAGACCAAAATTTGTTATGCATGGTACGGACAGACGCACGGATAAACAGGAAGTTGACATTGGATTTGTACCAAAATGAATCCCATTATAAGGCATGCCTAAACAAAGAGTGTTTTAAAATTTCAAGCATCTGCGGTAAGTAGTTGCTGAGAAATCTGCGACCAAAGTTTGTTAAGTGTGGTACGGACAGACGCACGGATAAACAGGAAGTTGACATCGGATTAGTACAAAAATGAATCCCACCATATGGCATGCCTAAACAAAGATTGTGCTAAAATTTCAAGCAAATGCGATGAGTAGTTGCTGAGAAATCTGCGACCAAAATTTGTTACGGACTTACAGATACACACACAGACAGACACACAAGGGTAAAACAGTATACCACCCTCTCCTTCGGAGCGGGGGTATAGTTATTCAATGAGTTCGTGTACTTTAAACAAAAAAAAAAAAAAAAAAAAAAAAAAAAAAAAAAAAAAAACCCTTGTACTTTTTCGATACGAAAGAGCATGATATGAGTACGACCTGGAACAAGGAAAGACAACATTAAGACTAAATGCACTGCATTAAAATATTTGACCTTGACCGCTTTCTTCATTCAATGTCAAATTAAGAAAAATACGACCAGACCATAACTAAAGATCGTTTTGACATGAGGACTTGAAATTTTATACACAGATCGAGGAATTTGAGTTTAGATGCACTGTATTGTTATTTTTTACCCTGATTGATAAAGAAGGGGAGACGTGTTTTTGTTTCCAAAAAAATACGCACTAGTTTTTTTCTTCCTTTTCTTTTTGTTTTCTACATGCACATCTTATCAAAATTTAGGTCATGAAAGCGAGAGATTGTCAAAAAAAAAAAAAATTACCCGGAAGTGATGAATAGATAGAAATCCAAACCTTAATATTTCAATTCGATTAATATTTGACGTGTAATAATGTAGTTTCTTCTATTCAGTACGCATAGGTTATCAAAATTTAGGTCATCAAAGTGAGGGATTGTCAAAAATAATTTCACCTGGATTGATTGATAATTATTGTTTTACGCCGAGTCGGCAATATTTCAGCCATATTTCGGCGGAATTTCACCTGGAAGTGAAGAATAAAGATGACCTGTTGAATAAAAATTTGCTTTGGTGTTGGCCATCACACTTTTGAGATTAGAAGATATTAATTTTGTTAGAGGACAGGTTGATAATTATTTTCCCAGGTAATTATTTTTGAAAATGGCATCACCTGCAAGTAATCAAATAATACATTAAACATAGAATTTTTTGCAATAATGACAGATATAAAATTACACTTCGATCAATTTCTAACAGGTTTGCTTAATAATAACGCATCTCAAAACAACTTTTCAGTTATAGTTCGTTATCTTCATAATTCACACTCATGAAAACATATATTGCCCGTTAATGCGTTGTGATAGCAAAATTACTTCATGCGACATCACGTGACGTTTACTTCTACATAACACGTGCCTTACCCTCTGTTAATAATAATATGATCAAGGTAGGTCCAATGATTACTTTCTGGACTGGATGTTTAGAGATAAAAGCAAATAACAAATACATTTTAACCTTACTGAGGAAGATAAAAAATATTTTAAATATGTTTACCATAAATCGACATGAAATACAGTATGATGAAAGGGTACCGTAAAATCAGGGAGAAGTGAGGATTCGATTTATCCGTCTGTAGATAGGCGTCACTTTTTTGGGGGGAGGGGGGGGGGCGCTTGCAAATGGCTGATTATAGTTTTTAAATAGTATTTTCACAATTTCAATATTACAGGTATGATGCAAAATTCAAGTAAAGGATCAGTATCAAAACAGAAAAATGGACAATAATAGCCGTATAGAGTTGAATCGGCTGAAAAAGCATTTAGGATATTTTTTTTCTACCTCAATTTAATCTCATTAATTAGATACGTGAGCAATAGACTGTAATTTTCGAAAAAGAGAAGACCTTCACGGTAGCTCAGTCGTTAGAGCATTCGTTCCGTGATCATCGGCAGGTCTGGGTTCAAACCCCTGCCGCGACTGACATAGGTCGATAAAAATAGGTCGCAACTGTTCCCTCGCCAAGCGCTCGGCACTTTGAAGTGAAAGTTGTGGGTCTTTCTTTATGAAAACCAATTTTTTACCGAAGTTGGCACAAAAGCATCCTTGAATAAAAAGGGAATCTACATCTTTTTCAAATGGAGGGTCAAGCCTCCTTTAAAGAGTAGATAATCAAGAAAATGCAAAATAGGATGAGGTTATAAAAATTTTTCTCAAGAACCACTGTACCATGAAAGATGAAACTTATGTGAAAGGTTCCTGAGGTAGGGGAGATTCTAAATTGTTCAGATGGTAGCCTCCGGGTTAGGGTAGGGCCACGGAAGGGTACCAAAATTTTACATTGAAATATACAAGGAAAAATCTTCTTTTAAGACCCACTGGACTGGAACAATTAAAACTTAAGTTGATGCATTCTGAGGTAGTGCGGGTTTCAATTTTTCAAATCATGTCCCCGGGGGTTGGGTGGAGCCACAGTTGGGGACCAAAATTTACATTGAAATTCATAGGAAAAAATCTTTAAAAACCTACTACAGATCCATTTGACCAGAGACAATGAAACTAATGTGAAAGCAACCTGAGAAAATGTACTTGTATTTATTGTTCGAATCATGACTCCGGCGGTAAATTGAGACAACAATATATATGAGATCAGTTTTTAATTGGACTTGATAAGGATAAAAAAAAATTCCAAAATTCGCAAAAGGAACATTAATTTGCAAACATTCGAAAGTTTTGTGTATTTATTTTTTTTAAATCAAGGACCAAGAGCGAAAATTAGCTTAAATCAGGATGAAATTTTTCATACTGCATGTATACAGGAATAGAAGTTTTTTCTCCATTTCTGCAAGGTCATACAATCATATTAATACTGAAACATCCCCATGTTGTGTGAATTCAGACATCTATAAGAGCAAGGATGGGGCAATAACATGGGTCACAATTTTTCATGGGAATATAAAAATCTTTTGAAAATCTCACGTGGACCTCTTGCCATAAATGACTCAAGTGACCTTAACCTACAAATTCTACAGGTTTGTTCTGTTTTTTTTTAATGAAACATTATACAATAGGTTTAGTTAAGGTTTGGGATAGAACAAGGTAAAAAATTCTGTTTGAATTGTAATGTTTCTAAAAATAAAAGATCCTGTGAAAGTCGTTAAAATGCGATTCCTCCTTCACATGGTCTACATGTAAACTTGCATGTAAATTCACATCAAGACAAGGTCATTTAATTTCAAGTCAGTGATTTCACGATGACATCCTTAATCACTGTTAGGTTACGGACCCAATGTCTGTGGTGGATATTCGGAATTGTATAGGTTTTTATCCTGTTTTGTTCATCCATGGTTTTAAGACCAAACGAATCTTCTTTGTAAAACTATTCAAAAAGAAAAATAAAATAGGATAAATTTATCTAGATGTTGGTAAAATTCAGTGTAAAGTATTCGTCCAGTATAAAATATTTTTAAATAACCGGTTTAATCTTACCATTTGCTCTTTCATTCCTTGTACTTCCTCCATCTCATTGTAGAATCCAAATTGACTGAGGAAAAAAAATTGTCTCAATTTTTGGCAAATCTTAATATTATCTAAAGTTTATTTTAAAAAGAGTTTTCTTGCAGTGTAATTATCAGAGCCCAATATATTTTTTTTCTGAATGGCTTATATATAATTCATTCATAAAAGAGTTGGTGACGAATGAAAATATTGTCATCTAAATCTTTATCTTGTTTTTTAAAAAAGATAGACTTTGGTCTGGGTTCCTTTTAGCGTGTAAGGTTTTGTATATTATCTAGTAGGCAACCGTTAATTTGCTATGTGTAAAATAATATGCTTTAAAGACGGCAAACATAGCTCAAAAACTAATGAATATATCAGTTTGCATGGAAATAATAATTACTTGAAAAAAAAAAAAGATGAAAACTTCGCTGAAGCTGTCCTGATGATAGAAACTCGAATGGACCTGAAGTTGAAATTAAGAGAAGGACAAAATCTTTACCTTGATTGCCATGGTGAAATGACATCGTCATTGGGACCACCAATCAGGATTAACTTCTTTATCCGCAAAAAATTTTGTTTGTATTCTAAGGAATAAATAAAAAAACAAAAAACAAAAATCGTGTGACTGAATTCACTTGGGTGCAAAATGAATCACTTTGTACTACATTTCTCTCTTCCTTCAAAATTGCCTTATTAAATGTAGAAAATTAACAAGGTAGAAAAAAGCAAACTGAAAAGTTATTATTCTAGTTAAATGATTTAAGTGATTAATTGTTTTCTGAGAATTTCAGATTAATTTTAAATGAATTTATCAATGAATGTGTGGCTTGAAGTGATGCAATGTCCTATATTTATACTGCAAGTATTGGGGGGGGGGGGTGTCAAAGAAACTTCTTAATTCTTGCATTACTAATATACACATTGATAGTGAAGCTATTTAGTAAAACTGTCTTTCTTAACGCTAAAGGACCCTCTTTGTAATTAAAATTGTTTTTGGACATGAAAAAGTTACTTTTATAAAGGAGTAAATACTATGTTAAAGGAGTAAATATTATGTTTATATCTTAGGCAACTGAAATGCCATGAATGCTTGAACTGATTTAAAAACTGAGTAATACATAAAACATTTCAAGTTTAGATCTAAGGGCAGACCACTCAAGTGCATAAAAGTACCATGGAATTCGACCTCTTTAGTGCAAGTATTTGGTCCTTAACTGATAACAAGGTACATATTTACATTAACATTACAATATTACATTAGATTGTATGTATTTTATACTTTGATATATATTCTACCTGCCACGTTGGGCGACATGGAGTCATTGTTCAGTGGAGCCAAGAATTTGGAAAATTTTCTATACAGATCTAGATGATGAGGATCTGAAAAATAAGGTGCGATTTTATGCTTATTGCAATTGCAATTCATATTTCTAGACTAAACAATACAAAATCCAATGCCAATTAAGTTTTAGTCCAATTATCAAAATATAAATATTCTAAATGTTTTTACTCACCTTTCCAATAATTTCCTAGGAAAATTTCTTGTCCAATCTTACTATATAAAAATCTACATAAAGCAAAACATTTGAACTACAAATATTAATGATTTTGTTTGGTCCAGTATTTTTATGTATGTTGCATTCCACAATAACAACAGTATTTTAAACACAACATTATAAACCAGAATAAGAATGCGATTCTACAATTTCAATATGATTGCCAAAATGTTAAAATTTCGTTGGAACTTTATCTCCTGATTTTAAAATGCTTTGAAAAATTAATATTCTCTTTAGAAAAATTAAACATTTATTAATTTTGTAAGTAAGGGCTACTGTTTTCTTACATTTCAGTATAGATATACAATGCATGTTTTGGAGATTTTTTTTACCTATATGCATTATCTCTCACAAAGTTTGGAAAACACTTATGTGTGAACTTCCAGTCTGAAATAAATATATGATTACATTCATGATATCGAAGCTTCTATGAAATATGTGTTACGTGTATAAAATAAAGCATCACTTTGAGTTACCTCCGAAAATCCCCGCCAAAGGAGAACTAAGGGCTATAAAAGTGTCGACATTGTGATCAGGAATAGTGGACAGCAAGCCGCGACATACCAGACCTCCTGTATTGATGAAGCATAGTGACATGAAGCTGTAATCTCCGACAAATAATTTATTTTTACAGAAATGGTGGGGGGGGGGGGAGATAGTGTCTCCTTTGATAGACAAACTTCTAGAATTAGACTGATACATCTTATTCCTTGATTTAGACAAAAATTGACATTTTTAAAGTTACATCATGTTATCTATGGTACGTTTACTCGATTAGTTTATTTGGAACGATTGGTGTGCCTATGTGTTCATCCATAACTTATGACCAAAAATGTCTATATCAGTAATTTATATAAATTAAACTTTAGGAATTGCTGTATATTTTATGATCTATACCTTGGGAATAGCAAATAAGATGGATTCCTTCCTGGTGAGCTCTCATGTATTTCAGAAGATATGGTTTGACAATGTTAACTTCTTCCCATAACGGTAATAAGGTTTGAAGTCTTTCGAATGCGTTGACTGCATAATATGGGGTTCCCGGATGTAACTGTTATGAACAAAAATTGTATGTAGTTTTATTAAAAGCAAATACCGAGAATAATCGAGCATTTGTTCGGAAGAGAAAATGTTAATATGCGTTTTTCAATAATTGCAAGCTTGCATGGAGGAAGTGACTTCTTTTCTTTGATTATGTTAATGATGTCGATGTCATAATTATATTTTAATGCTTTCATTTGTTAACTGCTTCTTTTATACACCTGTACTTAGATGAAGTAGGAATTGTGGAAAACTAAAAGAAAATGCCTATTAAACATACAATTTCGACTAAAACGGTGAAATGTCTCAATTCAACTTTATCTCGTTTCCTACCTTTTGAATGATGTCATTGATCAGATTTCCATCTAGTGACGTTCCATTTAATCCATGAATAAAGACCACAGCTTTGTACGCAGCTACGGGATAATCCGTTAGCAATAACAAGAATAGAAATATCATTTCTATTACGTCTCATTCACTAAAGGTCAGCACAAAAGGAAAAAGTTGTAAGAAATGGGGAAGTTATTAAACATGTGATGCGGAAGTAGATAAAAATATCACGATAAATTTGTAAATCAACGCTTCAAGGAGAGAGCGTGATTAGTTTTCGGAGCTTGTGCCCAATCAAATTGAACATATTAATCACAAATTATGTTAAAATAATAAAACTATACTTAATTTTCCTTGAAAGATAAAAAAGAATTCTTCAGTATCTGTTTGTGATTCGATTAAAAATGTATATGGGTGTTTTGAAAAGCATTTTATTCACAAAAATATGCCTGAACGAAAAAAAGTTTAAGGTTATGTCCTCATAATCTTTAAATCCGAAATATAAAATTTAATATTTGAATTCCACTTAGTACTTATCTTTCTAGAGGTAAAAGATTAACAAACTATCCAGGATTTATTTCCTCCTTTTAGCTTAGTGACAATTCACTGCAATATTACTCTTTAAAGAACTGATAAATTTTAAGGCTGATGTGTTAAAGATAATGCCAGAAAAACTTTTCTAATTTGGTTAATATTGAGTATGTTTATCAATTTAATTTGAACAATTATTTTTTCTTGTAAAACTGACTTTTACACGGACAAGTTTTCATGAAAGATATAATCCTTTTAAAGAAATTTGAAGCCAGAACAAATGATTTCAACAATTTGGATATAAGGGGACGATTTTACTCTAAAAAAGGGGGACGGCGGGGGAGGGTGCTGGCAGATTTTGGAAATAATGTCCTTGAAAATAATCTGTCCCGACTGGGAAGAAAATAATAAATCTGCCCTTGACTGATGCTAACCGGTGCCCCATACTTTTTTGTTTCTATGGTGAAGAAAATATTAAATAATATGTTCTTGATTGACATGAAAATAAATAATCTGACTCGAAAAATTTTGCCATCCCCACTTTTCCCCCTATCTCCCTCAGAACCAGATTTTGACAAAGCCCAAATTAAGGTACAATCAGAAATACCACTCCAGAGATGTTTATATTTTATTAACAATTTCGTTGAAGACTGAGACTGATTTCAGACAGGGGACTAAAGAATCATTTTCTTCTGCACATTATACCCAAAACACAGATACTTTTCTTTCTCACATCAGCAGGTAAGGATCAAAATGTCATGGCTCAAATAAGTTACATAACAGTTGAGTAACCTTTTGTAAACAACAATGGCATAATATCAAAACATGTTCCTTAGTTAGTAACAGCCACATGTTTTTACCTCCTAAATCATATCCTCCAATAAACCGGTCACAAAAGCCTTTGTAGGGCTTTCTCAGTCTAAACTGAAATGTCTCTTCGAAATTCAGTATTTGTACCAATACCAATCTTAGTTTTCTTAATCGCCCTATCAATCTCAACCTCTACATGTATATCAATAGGAATCGACCTTTCAGCATTGTCAGTTAAAGGGCATTTTCCAGAAGCGGATAAAACGGCCTAACATGACATCGGATTCGAGTTTGTTGACTGTTTCTTTTATTTTACTTTGACCACTGGAACAAGCTGTATTGTTCTCATTAGATTGTGTCACTAGTAAATTACCTTCATCTTGAGACAACCATTCTTCATTTTCCGCACTGCTTTCACTTGTCATATATAAGTGTTATGTTCCCTCTTTGTCTTGCTTTTACTTGCAGTGTCGAGCTTCTGTCCTGAAGGCATTTGACTCTCCATTAAACCTGCATCTGCTATCTCCATATGTTTCTCGACATTACTTTCCTACTGTAATGTAAAATCACAAAAAATACAAGCATGTTCTTTTATGGAACATTGTACAACATTCATTAAGAACTCACTTTCTCCTTTAAACAATTCTGAACACATTGGACACTTCCTTGTCCCACTGACTCCGTTAAGTCAGCAAAGTCTTTACTTGATCTGAAAAAGACAAAACTGTATGTTACTCTCAAGAAATACTAGTAATCAATTTTATAATATTTTAACCAAATTCGAGGTCTTCTACTTCGAAATAGTCTTTCAGGCAACTCTTACTTATTACATGTATCAGACCCTATCTCAATATAACACTCCCGATGCCCATCAGTAACTTTGCAATTGCTTTCTCATCAGTACATATTTGGTCTCCTTCAACTATTATGTCGGCGCTTTGTTCTTGACCATTAGCAGAAGTTTCTCCAAATAACATTTGACGTCATTTCAGTTTCATCCTATGACATGTACGACCTAATTTGATCCACTTGCTCCTTGCTCCGCAATTCACCATGTACTGTACTTCACACCAGACATTTTCGTAATGATTCTATATGTTCCATCCCAGGAACTCGTAAAAAGGGTGTTGCAGAAACTCGTGATTATTCCCTATATCGAGAAGGATATTTAAAGCTATCGCGCAAGAATATAAAGCGTTATGCGTATTACATGCGATACGGTGTCGGCACTATTTCTCTTCTCTACTAATATCTTAATTCCATATATAAGACGTTTGGTCATCGTCACGGGCTGATGCACCTGACCTAAAAGGCCTAGTGTATACATTGATAGGTATGTCAAACCTGTACTGTCTATGAGGATTTCTATTTCATTCAAGTAATACAAAATGTAACACTAATCGTAAATCAGAAATGAGTAAAAATAATAATTAGTAAAAAAATAAATAAAATCAGGATTGAGTAAATAATGTTTTACTAATAACTTACACGTTATTACAATCGAACTGCAGTGAGAGACACACATCGAACACTACGAAAGTGGACAATTTGTGGAGACAGTACAAGTTTGATGGATCCAACGGTAAGTAGAAATAAGCATAAAAACGATCAGAATAAAGTATCCAAATTCTTTTACGAAATACATCCAGAACACATTCACGCCCTTCCGACATGTTGACAAGTCACTTGACAATCCAGTTTTGCTAAAAATAGATAACATAATTTCCATTTTCGTGCGCATGCCTCTCAATGGGATCGGTTATTATTGACCATTTTTCTGATGATTGCATTTTATCTTTGAAAAAAAGTAATAATATATAAAAGCGGGATTCACCGCATTGTAAGGTGTGGTTTTAAATGTTACTTATGTAGTTGTAATCGATTTTTACCAAGATCCTGTTAGCTACAGATTTGAAGAAAAATTGAGTAAAAAAAAAATATTGGAGGCTATATAAAAATATTTGTAGGCCTCCTTTTTTCCTAACTAATATGAAAAAGGACAAAACACATATGTACACGTATATTGAAGTTGTATTTTTCTTGATCAAAATAAAGCTTTTCTTCATTAAAAAAATTAGATAGTACAAACATCAAAAAGTTTCCAACAAATATGTACAACTTGTACTGTTATTACACATGTAAAATATTTCTTCCATATATGTACGAAAATAACGCCATACAAAATCCATAATAACTAATGTTTGACAGAAACCTACAGCACAAAACATGTACATACCGTTTTTCTTCATACAAAAAAAAAAAAAAAAACAAAAACAAAAACAAAAAACACCCAATAATTTAAATGGTAATTATAAATGTATGACCTGATATATACGTGTATTTAAGAGAAATAAGTTTTTACAAAATAAGCTGTTTGATACTCTCTCTCTCTCTCTCTCTCTCTCTTCCAGGCTTATTGATAATGTATTTTATCTGCTTTCATAGATAAATTGTTGTGCATGCCAAAATAGAGGGCAGTGCAAAAGTTGTGTATGCAGGAGAAGGGGCTGCACAAACTGTAGAAATGCTAACTGCCAATTCAGGGAAGCAGAAGGAAATCCACAACAATCCAGGTTTCACCCTTATGCCAACAATAGCAGAAGGAATTCAAGAGGAGGAGATGGTGTCCCTTCTCTTAATCAAATGCTGGAAGATAGAGCTAGACCTGAAAATAACAGAGACCAGGGTGAGGCAGTTAGTTTGCAGGTACACCAAAATTATACAAGAATCAACGGACACAGAACTAAATTCCACACTTTATGCATGTGTCTCTTTATTATTTTAAACATGAAAATTGTTCATTATTGCAGAACGCCATTACCTCCATGCCAGAGGCGGAGTTGCGTGCAAGAGTATCAGTTGCGGCGACACTGCTTCCTGACGTACTGGCCCCATACCTCTTGGAAACAAGTGGATTTTGTTCGGGTAACTTCAGTGTTGCCTCATGGTGTTGTTGTGGGAAGTGTACCGTTTTCTCTGACCCACGGATGAACATCTGCTGTGGTCATCCCCACTGCATCACCACGAGGCCAGAATTTCGCAACCTATGTCTCAGACATGATGTTATTGAGATTGCGAACATTCTGAACTGGAGTTTCCGAACAAATCTTGATCCTAGTTTCAGAGCCAGTACGTTCAGGAACCAGGCATACCGCAATTTTGTACTCTGGCAGCATGGGCGGTTAGGAGCAGGAAGGCGAGTTGTAGTATTATCCTGTGTCTGTCGTCAGATACGACTTCGATTTCCTGAAGTCAATCCTGTGGACTATAAGGGCTATGAGTCTTTATACTCTGATTCAGATTAAAAGAGAAATGTTACTTACCACAAGTTTTTCTTTTTTTTCTGCTGTTTAAAAGTTCCTTAGATGACGGTGTAGTTTCTCCAGAGAGATTAGTAGCGATTTGATCCAATGTTTTTGCTTGTAAACTTTTCGTATATGCTTCTCTTCGGGCGCCATATGTTTGTCTCAAACAACTTGCAATGAGATCTAAAAAAAATTGTACTGAATAATTTAGTTATATCTTTACAGTGATAGATTTTTACCACCCCCCCCCCCAAAAAAAGAAGGGGGGGGGGGAGAATAAATACAACCTGTATGTATAAACAAATTCAGAAAGAATACGGCATATTTATAAGGCAATGCATACTTTATTAATTTCATTACCCCCCCCCACCTAGTTTTTAACATAACATATGAAAAAAATATCTTATTTACGTACCAGGAATATAAGTATAACATTTAGCTACTCGTCTATCATAAGCAACCCACTGCTTCGTTTTACGAGAAAATTGTACGACAGGGACACTGGTTCCATCCTTTGCTTGCTGAATCTCTCTGTCCAGATGGTGATTATAGTCGATGACAGCAAGTTGGTTCCTGATGACGTAGGAGTCAAATCCAAATGACACTTGTTTTGGACAGTAGTGCAGGAGAGTGTGGGAATAGAAATTTTCAATTGCCCATTTTTTACTCATTTCTGATTTACGATTAGTGTTACATTTTGTATTACTTGTTATAGTTACACTATAGATATTAATTGGTTAGCAGTAAATACACTCACAGTTTTTCATTCACGAGGGGCGGAGCCCCGAGTGAATAAAAACTGTGAGTGTATTTACTGCTAACCAATTAATATCTATTGTGTAAGTTACTTGTACCAGAGGACCAATGAGAGAAAAGCATGTTGATAATTAGCACCGCCTACTACGAGGTGTCAAGCCACGGTCCGGAGTCTGTATAAATAGCTGTCTCCATCTGCAAGGATCATAGTTAGCTGCGTCACTGCTACTGCGAATTGTTGATAAAAAATTCGGAATTGATACGAGTGAAGATATTGTACCTTTGGAATGTTGAAGACGCAGAAAACATGATTTTTGTCAGATACAGGGTAGCGATTGTAGGCTTTTATATTCAATCCGTGAACTCTGACAGAAAATTTATCTTTCTAGATTTTTTTTTTTTTTTTTTTTTTTTTTTTTTTGAAAAAAGGGGGATGGGTATGGGAAACATCACCATTGAACTTTCTCTATATGGCAATCGGCGTACAGAAAAAAATGAAATGATTTGTGACATTTTAATGAAAGTTTGAAATGGTATTGGAATTTAAAAAAGCGAGGGGACTTCTGATGTGATATTGCTATTTGTATTTGGAGACGGGAAAGAGAATGACGAGAACTCGAGATAGGACGTATCATTTACTGATTTAGGATACGCGGAGAAAATATACAGAAACATTTAGGAAACGAACATCGACAAGCTAATGTTAGTATTTTTTAAATTACAAATGTTGACTTAATTTATTCATCAGCCAGGTCTGGAAATTGACATCATTTATTCATCAGTCAAGGTCTTGTCACAGTATGGCTTGATGCCAAAAGGTGGGCGTGACTTAAAAAAACTGTGATTCTTCTGGCAAATACACCACAGCAACATCAAAGCAAAATCTAAATTTACCGCCAGTCCTATGGTACAAGAATGAAATAGAAATCCCCATAGACAGTACAGGTTTGACATACCTATCAATGTATACACTAGGCCTTTTAGGTCAGTGTGCATCAGCCCGTGACGATGACCAAACGTCTTATATATGGAATTGAGATATTAGTAGAGAAGAGAAATAGTGCCGACACCGTATCGCATGTAATACGCATAACGCTTTATATTCTTGCGCGATAGCTTTAAATACCCACGACAGTGGGATGCATTCGATTAAGCGACCCGAGTTACACGGGTTTTACTCGTGACAAATCGAATGCCGAGAGTTGGCGTCTCGTGTCAAACACGACCAACGCGAGTATACTCTCCAATTTTGCAGGAGCACAAGAGTCGAAAGATGGCGGCAAAGGCGAACGAGCAGTAAGTCAACATGTTGAAAATTAACTATTTTGAGCAGAATATGACTTTTAGATAAAAGTTTGTTAGTGAATTGAGAAAATATTTATATTCTGAGCAAAATGATAGTAATTTACATTTTGAATGGAAGTGACAAATGAAATAAAATGAATAAACGTTCGTTGCGCTGTTGATTTAGGTAAAACCTGATAATGTCAGTTTTTTATTTGTTGTCTATAATAAACATAAATTTATATTATTATGAAACCCAATCCATTTTATAAATACCGCTAATTAATCCCGTAAATTTTCAGTGATTTTCAACATTCCATTTAAATCAATCATTATTAGTCCCCTACCGGTGAAACCGGAGGGGACTATAGGTTTCCTCTGAGTCTGTCCGTCCGTCTGTCTGTCTGTCCCTCTGTCTGTCCCACTTGGTTTTCCGCACTCTTTTCCTAAACGCTTGCAGATATTGAGCTGATTTTTGGTATGTGAGTGTATCTTAATCAGTTACAGATCAAGTTTGCATTTCGTTCCGCTTCATTGATTTTTGACGGAATTACGGCCTTTTCAATTTTTATGGGTTTTCCGCAATTTTCTTCTAAACGCTTGTAGATATTGAGCTGATTTTTGGTACGTGGCTTTACCTTGATTAGTTATAGATCAAGTTTGCATTTCGTCCCGCTTCATTAATTTTTGACGGAATTATGGCATTTTCAATTCTTAACGGGAACGGAACCAGATTACACTTGCCGGTAGGGGACTAGTATTGCTAATGCAATACTCTCAGAATGCTTGTTTTTTTTAGGTTTCTGATATCCATGAAAATTGATGGGAAAGATGTTCAGATCCTAGGTGACTGCCATCTTGTAGAATTGCTTAACTCAGACGGTAAGTATTTCTTTATTTCGTATATTGTATTTACTGTTTTGCAAGTTTTGTAGGTTTTTTCTCAGAATTTAGAGCAATGAATAAGAAAACAACATTTGTTTTAATTAACAGACCAAAGAAAAAGAGACCAGGCACTTCAACTCATAAGAGCAAATTGCCATCCGGGTAAGCAGTAATATTTCCAGAAGTATTTTTTTTTTAAAGTTGGTATTGATGGTGTACTATTTAAATTTTCTAGGAACAAGTATTACATTATGTATAAGTATTTAAAAGTTCTTTGATTAAACAATTTAAAAAAAAAAGCTGTATAATGACAAAACCCTTTCCATTACTGTTACTTTCTTTAAAGGTTAGGCAGTGAAAGAATCTACAATATAGGTCATAGATTTAAATCCAGCATGGTTTTTACATTTGATATAAGTGAGAAAACTCTAAAATTGCAGATTATGCCCAAATAATATAAAATTAATATTTGAAAATTGCAATTATATTTCAGAAAATATCATAAGATATAACATTGCAATGCCTTCAAATTTAGCTCAAAAATCAGCTGTTTAAAGTGACCACCCCTATGAAAGTTTGTTGACTCGTCTATTTACAGGTGAATAACACACCTGAGTGACCACTAAACAATGCTTTCAATTTTAGCTCTCTAAGTGAGTGGACGTAAGTTTTATCGCTCCACGTTTTGCATGTTTTAGTAGGCATTGCAGACGTTTAGAATGGCGCAAAGTCAGCTTTTCTCCCCAGCTGCCGTAGGGAGAAGGACTCCGTCTTCAGATAGACTGCAGGTTTATGTTTCGGAAAACGAGCAAATTTCCGACGATGCAGAAAGTGATAATGAGCAAACGCCAATTCAGGGCAATAAAGACCAAAACACGCCAATACGGGGCACAAGAGATACGCCAATATGGGGCACTCATAATAAAACGCCGATTCAGGGCACCAATGAAGAACCTCACTCTGATGAGGGTACGGGAAGAGAGTGGAGAAACGAACGAGTTAATGCATGCAGTTCCAAAACTGAAAGTAGAAAGAGAAAGCATGAGCATAGCGATGGAAAAACACCACCAAATGTTTTCCCATAGACTTCCATACAAATTCCAATCACTGTCACTTATTTATAGATTCAATTTTCTAAAAATCAGTCACTGTGCAGCAAAGTTCAACACCTCTTCTTCAAAATTCCACCACGAAAAATATACTGTGCCGCGGCACTTTTCCTTTGAATTTTGGCCTGTTTACAACTGGTATAGATCCGCACTGAATGAAAGTGTCCAGCAAAATATCACCCCTCATCTCAAGTCTTCCTTTATAAGTCCTATATCTTTTTACACATTCTGTTATGTCACATATAATTTTTATCACTTATATTTCACTGTCAAATTCCACCACAAAGATTTTCTGTTAATGACCAATCAGGACTCCTGTCAGCTTTTCTTCTCCGCACAACTTTGGGTGTCCAAGATGGCGGCCTCCTGTACCTAGGCAATTCTGGTGTTTTTCCTATAACCAAATGGATAACAAAGTGAAAAAGTGCCCAAAAAATAGCCAAAAAATCTCAATTTATTCAGAAAAAATGTTTTTAACATGTGTTTAATTTTATATTTCAAAATGAAATCACTAAGCAGCTGACAGCCAATTAAGAGAAGGTTATCAAAAGAGATGAGAAGTAATTTGATCTAGTAGTGTTGTTTCTCTGTAGCAGTAAAACTGTCATTACCCCCTTCAATACATCTACATTTTGCAGTGAGGGTTACTAGCTAATTCATATCATGATAATAAATTATTGCACGATAACACCTTAACTTGACATGATGCTGACAGAGCAATGGAAAAAGCACATCACAAGTGAATTTCACTTCAGAAAGAGTATCCGTAGTAAAATTCTATGTCAGCTTTGAAAGATGAGAAAATTCAAAAAAGGGAATAATTATTGTTTTAAACCTAAATCTGTGCCTCACAACAAGGGAAAATTGCTTAAAAAAGAAGAGAACTCACCTGCACCATTCACAAGAGTAGACCGGGAAACCCTGGAACTGGTGAGGCATCCACCCTCTGTGTGTGAGGAACAGGAAATTATGCTGCGCCCTGGGTGCCACCGGTTGCTACGGCCCAGGCCCCTGGAAAAGAGAGAAAATTCTGAGGCTTTGAAGCAAGCCGAATCCTTGGGGTAATAACCACAGTTCTTTAATATTTCTTAAATTATGAAATTAAACCTTTTTAAGTAATAAATAATTTTTCTAATTCTTAGAATAGGCCCATATATGGCCAATTTGCCTGAAATAAGGGGTATACCCAAGATCCTGTCAAATTAATCAGTTTAATTAATTCAAAATTAATTAATTTTCTAAATTATAGTAACATTCTTAAAATTGATCATTTATATGAGGAAAAATCTTACAAAACCAGTTTCTATAGATTGTGATGAGCCTCTTGTTTCAATTCTGAAAACAAGTATAGTCTAAGGGGAGTAACTCTAATTTCTGAAAATGAACTTACCTGGATAGAAAGTGATCAGGTACAAAACCGGTTTCAGCAGGTGTGATAATGACTCCCACAGACTGCTTCATCTTCAAAAGACGTGGTATGTTCAATACAGCCTTCAAAGAACATGGGCGGACCAACCCAGACTGTGATGGCAACCTGACCTGGGACATGGACTCTGAGGAGAGGCGTGGCCTGGGTACTCGGCTACGGCTGAAATGCAGCAGGTGCCCGTACATTTCCAAAATGCACAGCCTCTATGTGGAAGTACAGTCCAATTCCAGGGGAAGGAAGGCAGCAACAATAAATTATGGCCTACAAGTAGGTCTAAGTCAAACTCCCATTGGCAGTTCATCTCTACGCAAAATTCTGATGGCCACCAACACTCCACCTCCAGCCGAGTCTTCACTACAAAAAAACAGTAACGTCGTCATGCAAAAAGTTGTTTCCCTAAATAAGTCTGATATGAAAAAAAAGATGTAAGAAATTACCAGGTAGTTAACATTAATAAATTGCGGGGGGCCCCAAACCCAAACAACATAGGAATTCAGTGCGATGGGATGTACAACAACTCCCTCTACTCCGGGGTGGGGGAAACCCCCTTCCAGCCTGCTACTCAGACAGTCTTCTCAATTGCAGAGGATGTGACCAGTAGTCACGAAATAATATCTCTGGTGACCAAAAACAAAATATGTCCCGAGCGACAGCACCTCAAGAACAATCCAAGCCATGTGTGCACTGAGCAGGCATTTGGGGCAAATATACCCATGGCTAAAAACATTGGTGACGAATTCACCTGGACCAAAGAGGGCATAGAAGACCTTCTCGAGAATGATTTGAATGTCAAGGACATTACGTCAGACCCTGACAGTACAATATTCAAGGCCGCAGAGTCTTTGTATGCCGAGGGCAAACTAAGAGACGAACCACGACATTTTATCGACACTCGGCATCTTGCTGAAAATGTCAGAAAGGCCATCAAAAAAGATGAATCTTTACAGAAAATAATGCCCAAAATTTCAAAAGCTGAAAGAAACAAACTGCTACATAACTTTGCTATAGATTTTACAGATAGATGCACTGGTGAAATAAATCAGGCACAAATAAAATGCACAGGTCATGCAAGCAAAATTAAGAAGCAACTCTCCTATGTGAGTGATGCTATAATTTGCTGCTACATGGGTGAAAATGCCTTATGCAAGGAACACTCTTTAGTATGCAAGGGTGGTAAGAAAAATTGGCTTACTAAAAGTGCTTACCTTGATGGAAACTTCAAAATTCCATACTCCAGGGCCAATGCAAGGATTTTCAGGGCCAGTGTCAATAAACGGCTTGCCCCGTCAGTGCTAGACAAATCCATTCTTAATAGCAATACACAAAAAGTGGAGAGCTTTAATCGGCGTCTAAGGCGGTCACTGCCCAAGAATGTCACCTTTGCACGCAACTTCCATGGTCGGGCGCACAGTGCAGCTCACAGTACAAACAATGGTCCTGGGGAATCCATAAAGATCCTATGTGCTGGTGTGGGTGCTCCCATCCCAGAAGGGGGGAGGGTTAGTCAATCTCTGAAAAATTTTCAAAATAATTATGAAAGACAAAAAATATATCAGAAATCTAAAAAATATAGAAATAATAGAGTAATCAAAAGAAAAAACTGTATAAACTTTATGAACAGCATCAGGAGGAAGTAAACTACAGAAAGAATATGATGTTTTCTAAGTCATTTAAAGAACAGAAATCTCATAAGTTAAGCAAAAAAAAAAACGAGCACAGCTATTCAAAACCCCTAAATAAATGAAATAAAATTTACATGTAAAATATATAATTACATAAAATGCACCAGGGCATGCGTGACTTGCTGCACATCTTCTGCAACTGGCAGTGAATCCTGTCCTGGTTGATAGAGTGGGGCTCTACTACCAGGTGCTGGGGGTTCACACACAGCTTGTTGTGACATAAGTGGCTGCACTCAACATCGTCACGTGGAAACTGACTCCGTGTCAGCTTCCATTCTGCCATAAGGGCAACTCTTTGTGCCTTTTCAACCTTTCTACCCTCCTCTGGCCAGTAAACAGTTTGTAACCCATAGCCAGAGGGGGAAATCCTACCCCTCCAATACACACAGGTGCCCCCCTGGAGGCCCCGTTCACTTTTACGATTTAATTTTTCTTTCAAATTATCAAAGAATGCATCAATTCTAAAATCAAGATGACAAATGGCGCTAAAAATGCACTATTTTCTTACACTTACCTCATAAACTGGTTCTTGCCATCTCGGTATAGGACAAACACCACCAAATGTTTTCCCATAGACTTCCATACAAATTCCAATCACTGTCACTTATTTATAGATTCAATTTTCTAAAAATCAGTCACTGTGCAGCAAAGTTCAACACCTCTTCTTCAAAATTATACTGTGCCGCGGCACTTTTCCTTTGAATTTTGGCCTGTTTACAACTGGTATAGATCCGCACTGAATGAAAGTGTCCAGCAAAATATCACCCCTCATCTCAAGTCTTCCTTTATAAGTCCTATATCTTTTTACACATTCTGTTATGTCACATATAATTTTTATCACTTATATTTCACTGTCAAATTCCACCACAAAGATTTTCTGTTAATGACCAATCAGGACTCCTGTCAGCTTTTCTTCTCCGCACAACTTTGGGTGTCCAAGATGGCGGCCTCCTGTACCTAGGCAATTCTGGTGTTTTTCCTGATAGCGATTCAGAAGAATCAAGTTCAGATGACAGCAGTAGTTCATATGATTCTGAGTCAGATTCAGATATGTTCAATCCTTCACAGGTTTTGAAGATGAAGGGAGGTGAGAAGTTACCAAAGAAAATAACGAAATATATTTAGAAATATGCTAACAATGGTATAACCAAAGCTACTAGATAAGAAATAACGAAGAACTGTAAAACACCAAACACAAAAAGACTAAAATCAAAAGAAATTGACAGGTTCATTAAAAAGCTCTTTAGAAAAAGATTCAATCAGGCCATGTCTAACAAAAAAGAGAAAATTATACTAAATACACAAAATCGCATTCTTGATGTTACTGGCCCATTAGCCATACTGTGGCACGAAGCTGAGAAGGTCAGATAAGCTAATAAAGGCATAGACCCCAATTAATGATGTTATAAATATTGTACAGAGAGCATTAGTGTTGATTGGAAATGCTCATTATGTGTATCTCACTGATAGACGTAAGACTTTACTTGGCACACTTGTACCAGAGTGTGTTGACCTAATTGAAGATAGTTCTGGAAAGAAAGCATTAAGAAAATCAAAAGACAAACTATTTGGCAACACATTCAGAAAACTGTTAGCAAAAGACAGCAAAGATAATCGAGATATTTCAGATCTTCTTCCACAAAAGAAACGATTCAAGTCTGACAAGAACTCTTATTTCTATGAGAACAATAATGAGAGAAGGAACTCTTTCAGAAACTAGAATTCTCTCAAAATCCCCCAGTTCAAGTGAATCTTCCTCATATCCAGGGATTTTCCAAGGAAAAGAATGCATTGGTAAATCAAGAAATTCTCAACATGTTAGAAAAGAGAGCAAATTTTACAAGTGGAAAACACAATGGACGGGTTCATAAGCCCCATATTTCTTGTAGAGAAAAAGGGAGGGGGGCAAAGACCTGTAATAAACCTGAAAGAATTAAATGGTTACATGATATACAGACATTTCAAAATGGAGGGAATCAACCTAGTACGAGATATGATTCAAAAGGGGGACAGGCTAATAAAAATAGACCTAAAAGATGCCTATTTCACCATCCCAATTATAAAAGAAGATCAAAAATATCTCAGATTTATTTGGGAAGGGAAAGTTTATCAATTCCTTTGTCTTCCATTTGGGATAACGGTAGCCCCTTGGGTCTTCACCAAGATAATGAAAGTTCCCATGAGTTACCTTCGAAGGTTGGGGGTGAGACTAGTGATATTCCTGGACGATATTCCGATCATGAATCAGACAAAGGAAGGGGCATTGATAGATGGCAAGAGAGCAGTCAATCTGCTAGAAAGTTTAGGGTTTTTGATAAATTTCAAGAAATCAAACCTAGTCCCTTCCCAAGTTCTAGAATATCTGGGATTCAAGATAGACTCCAGTATAATGACACTCTCCTTCAGAGAAGACAAAGAAGATAAGAACAATTTGTCAAGAGGTTATCAGTTCAAATCCTGTTTCAGTAAGGAAATTGTCAGAAGTGATAGGAAATCTCACAGCAAGCATACAAGCAGTATAATAAGTAACATATGGTCAACAATAACTTGCAACTGGAGTGAGGGATACCCTTTTCTGTTAATATAATCTTGATCTCCATTGGGAATATTAGAGTAATATGACTGCCATCAATTATTCCTACGATTCCTGGTATTTTACATTCGGCCTCAAAGTGATCAGAAATTTCTTGCTGACGCTGGGGACCTGGCCAAGAAATAACTCGATTCCGAACTGAACATAATGCATCACAAAAGTCATGAACACAATCAAAAACTGTTGACTATGAAATTCCAAACAGTAAAGAAATTTCTCTCATGGAAATTGTATTCCATAAATACCACAGGCCTACCATGGCACGTTTCTCTGTCAATATCGGTTGTTTGCCCTGTGTCCGAATATCCTTTGCAAGATTTGGTTCTATCTCCTGGAATAAGCGTGGAAATGTTTGCCTTGTTAGTCTAAAATGTTTACTAAAATCAAGGGAAGAAAAATCTGGTAACACTTCTTCGTAGAATATTCTTATCGATGGCACACGTTCTCTTCTGATAAAGTTAGCAAAAAAATATGGGACAATATCATCGTCATCATCGTCTATGTCCTCTTCCTCAAGAAGGTAATCGACAGCAAACACTAATCCCACTTTATTAGCCATATTTGTTTACATTGGAGCTCAACACGAGGCATTCGATTACATACTCTACTGCGCATGCTCAACAATTACACTAGTGTCTGAAGAGAATCGAATGCACCCATGAAGCGTTATCTCTAAATATAGATACAGCTACGTAGTCGACTCTATTTACAAGACGGGTATGTCCTTAGGCAAAAGAAATAATATTTTAAGTTTAATTTATGT